TGGGAGGGGGAGAAGCAGGCTTCCTGCCGAGCAGGGAACCCGAGGTGGGACTCGATCCCAGGACCCTGGGATCATGACCTAAGCCGAAGGCAGACGCTTAACGACTGAGCCACCCAGGCGCCCCTTCTTTGCACAGTTGTATGCCAGGTACCCAGCACATACCAGTGAGGCGGTGCTGGGGCAGGCCCAAGGGCAGGCAGACCAGTAAGGAAGTCAGACTGAGGACCTGCTGACTTGGACCGAAGGGCCGCAGGGAGAAGAGCGAGGTGGAGAGACGGGAGGGGAGGCAGGCCCCACGTGGCATGTCCACCAGGACACCTGAGCATGTTAACATTTCCCCGGACCAGCCCCTCAAGGGGACAGAATCTCCAAAGACAGCGAGCCATGTCAGGCGGCTCTGGGTATGTCGTGTCCTGCTCCAAGGACCACGTGGCTTCCCAGCGACCCTGTCAGCAGCTGTGCATGACAGTCTCCACAGTCTGCTCTGGCTCTTCTGGGACGGGAGGCTTTGTGATACTGAGGGAGTAAACCCCTTCAAGTCCAGTCTGCCACTAACACAAACCACGTGTGGCCCTCCACGCCAGCTTCCACACTGTTTTCCTTGGACAGCATGTCTCCTTTCTCTCTACCACAAGCTGATCTTGAAAACTGCTGATGGAGTGTTCCCTCATCCCCCTTGGAGGCCTGCAATGTGGCCACTTGACGTGGCTCCCTCTCCCTTCCCGTCCCCCAGACTGACTCACTTTCCTCCTCGGTTTCCAGTCCTCCTCACCCCGAGCACCACTTCCTTTTATTAACTGGGGGGAAGGGATGGATTTTCCAGTTTCCAAGGAGAGCAGTCTACAGTTGGCCTTAGCCCGGCATGCCTCTGGTCCTGCTGCTGCAGACAGCCTGGGTCCAGGGGTCCCCACAGAGTGTCTGGAATGTGGCCTGTGGGTGCCAAGTATGACAGCCCTCTGGGTAGAAGCAGCCTGTGGCCTATGAATCTGGACACACTAAGACCAAAAGCAAAATACCTCACAGGCTTCTGATCTCCTGTCCTTGCAAATAGTCCTCTTAGATTGTCATGACCATTGACAGAGTGATAAAGAAAGTGAAATAAAACTGGATAAACCTAAATGAGGAGGATGGGTGTTATAGTTCAGCCCTGCACTGTCTGTGATCATGGCACTAGTCATGTGAGGCTATTTAAATTAATATAAGAGTTAAATAAAATTAAAAGTTCGATTCTTCCATCTTCGGAGCCATGTTTCAAGTGCTCAGCCTTGGAGGTCCATCTAGGGCTAGTGGCTACAGTAAGGAACTGTGCAGATATAGAACATTGCCATTATTGCGGAAGGTTCTGTTGGACAACCAAGCTCTGGCTCCTGAGGGGACTTGGATAGTCTGAGGAGTTTTGCTAACCTTAAAACACAGCCTCGTGCTGGAATGTTATTCAGCCTTAAAAAGAAAGGACATTCTGACACTGCTACAACATGGATGAACCTCAAAGACATGATGCTGAGCGAAATAAGCCAGATACCGAAGGACAAATACTGCATGATTCTGTGACATGTAGCACCTAGAACAGGTAGATTTGTACAGATAAAAAGTGGAATGGTGGTTGCCAGGGGCTGGGGGAGGAGAATAGGGAGTTAGTGTTTAATGGGGACAGAGTTTCAGTTTAGGATGATGAAGAGGTTCTGGAGATGGATGGTGGTGATGGTTCCACAGCAATGTGAATGTGCTTAATGCCACTCCTTGTATGTTCAAAATGGTAAAGTTTATGTTAAGTATATTTAACACAATTTCTAAAACACACAGCCTCACAAACTACTAAAAATCATTCCCAAATAACTTTTAGAATAATGTCTTCTTTATGGGCGGAGTGCCAGGAGAGAGGGGATCCGTTGTTGAGCACCTGGATGTCCCCGAAGGGCTCACGTTCGGCGTTCACGGACATAGCGACTCTGCCAGGCAGGCTGTGGTCCTCGTTCCCCAGATGGTGACTTGGGCTCCCTGGGCGAGGAGGCTGGCCCCTGACACACAGCTGGCCTGACAAAGCGTCAAGATGTAACCCCAGGACTGTCTGGTCCCCAGGGGTACCATCTGTGGTTAGATATTGCAGCATGAAACCCAGGTCTGCTGCCTCAATCGGCAACACTTGAGAGGACACTTCAGCTCTTTGGGCCATGCTTGTCTGGGTAAAAGCAAGTCAGGAAAAAGGATGAGAGAGTAACTTCCTAAGACACACTGTCAGAGACCACAGGCAGCACTGGGGGAGGCCTGTTTCTCTGGCCTCCTTCAGACAGAGGCTCAGAAGGAGGCTGGGAGAAGGGAGAACGGGCATGGTCAGGTGGATGGATTACTGGTGCATACCTTGTTTTTTTTTCTCCTGAGTTCCCTTTATCGGTGTTCCAGCATTGTCCTAACAAATAAAATTGAGAAGGACCAAAAAAGATGGCATTAGGCAAAACCTATCATCTCTAAAAGACTCTGTGGCTGAGACTGATCAATCACCGCTTTTCTTTTTTTTTTTTTTTTTAAAGATTTTATTTATTTATTTGAGAGAGAGAGAATGAGAGACAGCATGAGAGGGAAGAGGGTCAGAGGGAGAAGCAGATTCCCTGCTGAGCAGGGAGTCCGATGTGGGACTCGATCCCGGGACTCCAGGATCATGACCTGAGCCGAAGGCAGTCACTTAACCAACTGAGCCACCCAGGCGCCCAATCACCGCTTTTCAAAAGAAAGCATGCTGTTCACCGGTGCACAGAATATTAAACTTACTTCATCTCAGGCTGATTTTTCACGCTTGCATGACACTCCAAAGCCACCTTTGAGAGTGACCTTAGGGAAAGAGAGTGGGATTTCGATTAAGGTCCTTGAACTGGCTGGACCACCACTCAGCTGGGTGACCTCAAGCAGCTGTCCCTCTCCGCTCCCCAGTTTCTCCTATCTGGGACACGGGCAGCGTACATTTATATCACAGAGTTACTGTGAAGGTCAGATCAAATCATGCATGGAAGGCTTGCTAACCGTAAACTGCCAAACAACTGTTAGAGTGGTGACTAATTCTTATTTAATATTAGTGATATGAAGAGTATTAACTAGGGCACTTAGTGAACACGTGAAGCTGTCTCCTAGAGTGTTCCACTCAGTTGCCTTCGTTGCTTTGGTCGGTTGGTGTTGAGTACCTACTTTGTCCCAGAGTCGGAAAGCTCCTGGATTCAAAGAAAGCAGCCCGCCTTTGCAGCAGGCCTGCTGTGGGCTCTCCAGTTGCTGAATGACGGTGGACCAAGCATGTCCCATTGCCACGCAGCACAGAGTAGGGCCAACAGGAAACCACAAATCAGACCGTGACCTCTGGGCAGCCCATCAGGGTGCCGGCCAAGCCGAGGCGGACCCGCCTCCCCAGGGGCATCACAGAAGACAGCACCAACGGGGCAGGGAGCCCCCGCCTGCCTCCCAGGCCCACAGGGCAATCCGTTTTCGTCGAGGCGGGTGGTGTGACAGCAGAGAAGCCACGGGCTTCCATCTCTGGCCACGCCGCTTGCTGGCTGCAGGCCCGTGGCAGATTTCCTCCCTCTTTGGGCTCCAGTTTCCTGGCTAATCATGTCCACCTTGAAGGAGTGTTCGGAAGATTTAGTGAGAGCATGTGTCTAAAGAATCTAGTCTGTGCCTGGCACGGATAACCTGTTTCTCTTGCCCTTGCGACCTCTCCTCCCTCCCCCTACGCACTAGCCGTGCTTATTTCTCCAGGGCTATGCAGGGCTTCTTTCCTTCTACAGAGGGGCATCTTGAATGCCAGGGTGACTTTCTGCTGGAGAAGAAACGATGAGCAGGCTATTCACATTCCAGCCATCACGTGGGAGGCTCAAGACTCCCTTCCTGTTTGAATCCTGGGCCCAGGTACCAGTAGGGTGGCTATGCTGCTATGACAGAGAGCCTCTCTATACAACTAGGGTCCATCTCCCTCGGTGGTTGTTGGGGACTCCGGACCCTCAGTGGCAGAGAAGCTACTGTCTGCAGTGTGGCCGGTCACATGGCAGAAAGAAGGGAGGGTGGTGAATCACGCACCACTCATAACTCTCCCACCCCAAAGTGACACATGTCTCTTCTGCTCACATTTAACCGGCCACATCCCACCGCAAGGGGGTGGGGGAATACAAATCTACCGTGTGCTCAGGAAAAGAACCAGAAATCTGATGGCAGCCTCAGTCACTACCACGACCCCGCTTTAATCCATAAAGTAACACTACACGTTGGTATCATTATGGCCAACTTAGAGATGAGACCCAGGGTCTGTCACTTCCCCAAGACCACAAGCAACAGGTCCTTGGAATTTTGTATATCAAATCAGAGAGGCGTTTATCACACTAGTAAAGGTTTCCAGTTTGGGGACTCGGCCCCTGTTCCTTCTCCCCCCTACAGCAGCCTACACATACCTCTGAAGGTGCTTCCTACACCGCCCTGTAAGGATTTATTTCCTCTTCTGGCTCTCTAGACTTCAAGTCTTTTCATCTCTGAACCCCATGTGCCTAGCACAGAGCGGGGCACAGATCTATCTGTTGGGCCAACCTGGGGAATCTTGGTGTGGCAGGGGAGTGTAATGATCTCACAGGCATAGACCTAACCAGATTAATTGAGTCCCAGTGGTTTGTTACCTGACAAAACCTGCAATTCTTAGGAAACAGATTGACCTGCTGTCAGTGGAATTCTGGTGGCTCTGGGGGTATTGTTCACATTTCAGGTCCTTTGGCTGGAGACCCCCAGGAAAACTGACAGTGGTCTCCCCCAGCTCTGAGCCTTCACTGATATGGCGGCTATGAACAGAGAGAATTGTTTTTATGGAAATCCTAGGTCCAGTTGATATTGCCTTCCCATTAGTCTGGGTTTCTGAAAAGCTGAACACAGTGAGCCTTTATGTATTAAATCACATATTTCACATAATTCCCTTAAAATGTCAGAAATGCATTTATCATATTAAAGGCTTCCGTTTTTGCTATTCTCCCCCTCTTTAGATGCAGATGTTGGACAAATTTCCCATGGAAGGAGGACAGAAGGATCCCAAACAGCGGATCATTCCCTTTCTGCCAGGTGGGTGAGACACATGCTGTTAGAAGGGGCTCTGGGGGGATCCAGGACAGCCCCCACATTTCTCAGCTCAGCTTCCTGGGGCATTGTCCGAATGACCAGAGTCCCAGCCATTTGTAGAAATTAGTGCCTAAGAATACGGGCTTTGGGGTTGGATGCTGCACCATCCTCTTAGGCAAGATACTTCACCTCCAGGATCCTCAGTTTTTTCTGTCTCTACAATGGGAATAATTAGAGCTCATAAAGCTTTTGTAGTGAGTGGCATCTTTGTTATGGCTGCAGTATTACTTTGCCATTGCCGTGTCATGAATTCACACCAATTTAGCAGCTTAAAACCACCCTCATTTATTATCTCAAGTTCAGTTGGTAGGAAGTCCAGGCAGGTGCTGCTGCCTTCTTTGGTTAGAGTCTCCCAAGGCAGACGTCATCATCTTGGCCAGGCTGGGCTCTTATCTGGAGGATTAAGGAAGAATCCACTTCCAGCCTCATTCAGGTTGTTGGCAGAATTCAATTCCTTGCAGCTATGGAAGTGGAATACATGTTTCCTTGCTGGCTCTCAGCCAGGGACCCCTCAGCTTCCAGAGGCTGACTGCGTTCCTTATCCATCTTCAAGCTGGCGGTGGAGCATTGAATCTTTCCTGTGCTTTGAATCTCTCTGACTTCCCCTTCTGCCACCTGTTGGAGAAAGCTGTTTGCTTTTAAGGGCTCATGTGATTACCTTATACCTACTTAGCTTATCCAGGATAACTTCCCTCTCTTAAATAGAACTGTGGCATATGTTGTAACATGATCCCAGGAGTGAGATCTCATCATATGTATAGGCTCTGGGGCTCTGGGGCCCTGGGGATGACAATGGGACATCTTTGGGGGTCCATTTTAGAAATCTGCCTGCCTATCTGCCACAGCTGCCAAGCACCTTCTGAGTGCCAGGCACTCCTCCAGGCACTATGGAGGAGTTAATACACTCATGGCTGATCCCTGCCCTTAAGACATTGTTTCTTTCCCCCCCAAAAAATTCCTTACCAAAGGAATAGTATTAAGGCTTCAGCTCAAAAAAATGGGCTACCCAAACCAGAGTTATTACCTCCAGTAATAATATTGGATGTCTACTGTAGGCCAGTCACGGGGATAAGTGCTTTACATTCATTACCTTGTTTATAGTCTTCAGAACAACCCTGTGCCCACTTTACAGATAAGGAAATTGAGGCTCAAAGAAATTATAATCATTTGCACAGATAACAGAGCTGTGCTTCAAACACAGCTTTGGCTGGCTCCAAAATTCATGCCTGAAGTCAGACAGCCCAGGTTCAAATCCCAATGCCCCCCTCTCAAACACTGTTACCTTCGGGAAATTATTTAAGCATGCGGAGTTTCATTCTTCACTTGCAAATTGTAGATAATAGTGATACTTAAATAATAGAGTTGTTGTGAGGATTAGCTAGGTGCTAAGTGGCACATAGCTAACAGCAATCAAGCACTTACTATTATTTTTATGTACAGATAATCAGCAAATTGATAGTCACCCTAAATCACAGATATTCAGAGCTGGAAGGCCCCTTTAGATCTTTTCCATTTTGCAGACAAGGGAGCAGGCCCTGAGAGGAGGGGGACTCCCTGAGTCCCACAGGAGCCCACTCTCTCCTCCCTACTCCAGGGTTCTGCCATCAGCACATCGAGTGGTTCTTCCAGATATTGGCATCACAGAGTGGATTTAGAGACAGGGTAGATGTATTTGCCAGGCCTCATCTACTGGGAGAATCATTTGCCTAAAAAAGCTAACGTTTTTAGTTCTTCCACGGAGAAAGTGTGCAGTCACACTAGAATTTTTGTTTCCTATTGGAGAAAACCCAGTGTACCAATGCAACAGCCAACTAGCAGTGCTCCAGAGCTTGTGCTTTGGAGTCAAACAGACCCAATTCTGTGACCTCACGCTGATGAAAACCCCCTGCCCCCAAGCCTCAGTTTCTCCATCCGTAAAATGGGACAATGACTCCCGCTTTACAAAGCTTCTCTCCCTGGCACGTAGTGGGTTCTCTGCAAAAGTCAGAAACAGGATCCTGGGACATTCCTTGGGAATTTCTTCGTATTCATATTTTAGGGTCATACTTAAATGATCAATCTGAATATTCACGTTGAACTGGACCCCAAACGTAGGTTTTTTTCTTCACAGAAGGAAAGGAAAGCAGTGAGTTATAACTCTTTACTGGATGAAAGGCAAAAGCCAGCTATGAAAAAACTTCCCAGCACAGGGAAGAACTTGAGCTGACCCTCTCCCAAGCCCCTGAAAGCTTTCATGGTTACAGAATCCTTTTCCACCCACGAATTTATGAAAATGCTGTTCTCAGAGACTCAGCCCCATTTTCCCTGCTTGGGGCACGCACTTGCTGCTCGGAGAGGTGTGGTTGGGCCCCAGGACTCCTAGAGCATCCCTTCATGGCCCACCTCTTAGCTCTTCCTTGAGGCCAAGACCAAGGGCAGGGATACACAGGGGAACATCCCCTCTCCTAGGGGTCCGTTTTCTGCCAAGACTGCCGCATCAGCAGAACAAAAGCAAGTCTCTTGTTAGCACAAAGGCAGGGGGAGGGTGAAGCAGCCCTGTACAATTTTCCATCCCAGCAAGAGCTGGGGAAGCCAACTTGGCAGAGGATGCGGCTTGAAAAATAAGACTTACAGTTTGGCCTTCCACCACTGGAAAACAAAAGCCTGCCCGTTCCCACCAAAGGCTATGCTCTCCGCCTAGCACCCTTTCCACTCCAGGAAGGCTGGCCTGCCGGGGAAACCTCACCCTCCTTCCCCACAACTCACACAGTTTCTCCATGAGGCACAGATAAAGGGCCATTGTCCCCACTGGCATTTCACTCAGAGCCTCCAGCCAAGGAGGTACTGGCCACATGGGTCTGCCCCACAGCCCAGGGCCTGAGCCAGGCTCGAGGTCTGCTGCAGATGGATGATGAATTAGCCTATCAGAGGCAGGTCTTAAGAAACCAAGCTGCAGGTTGAGGAAAGAACATGTGCTCTTAATTACAGAGTATGAGTCAGTATCATCTAACCTGTTTAAACAAAACAACAAAAAAATGTGATTACTCTTTTGTGAGCACCTAGGAAGGGCCACGCCCTGTGCTGGGTGAGTCATGGAGGTTACTACCTAAGAAATAAGGGCTGCTCTCCCATTTTACAGATGAGGAGACTGAGGCTCTGGGAGGTAAATGCATTTCCCAAGGCAGCACAGTCACCCTGGATTGGCTGACTACAGCGCCTATGGCCTCCCCAGCAGGTGCCACCACAGGGCTTCCTGTCCCCCTTGTTGGCAGGGCGTCTGCCATATGCCCGGAGACTCCTAGGCCATTTGGGGAGAGGAGTGGTGCTTTTGTTGTCATGTCACACCCCCAGGAGACCTTGAAGGTGCCGGAGTTCTCCATCCTTCTCTCTCAGCCCCTGCAGGCTGGGCCTTGAGTGAATTCTCTTCATCGGTGGTGACTCCAGGACCAGCCTGTGCTGTTCCCATGGACCGGTGCGTGCAATGTGCCTATTGTGAATTGTTTGAGTTGGGTCACAGGCTTCCCAGTAAGAGGCCTGAATACCCCACTCCCCACCCTTCCTCTGATTTATAGAAAGGGACATTATATCAAAATGGGACCCAAATGTTTTTGGTAGGGACTCCTCTCCAATTCTGAGAAACAGATTAGAGGCAGGAAGCATTTACTGTGGGAGATTTCTCTTCAGGCAGGCATTCCTTGTTTTTCCTAAAGGCTCGGGATTCTCCTAGACTGCAAACAGTCCCACCCACGAGGGTGGTAATTTGATTATTACAATGACTGGGGGTGGAAATGGGGATGGGCCAGGGATGCTAAACCTCCTGCAGGGTGGGGGACTCCCACAGAGGGAAGGACTGCCCCACCCGGAATGTCAACAGGGTCCCTCCCGGTTGGGAAACACTGACAGTGTCAAGAGGGCAGGCCCCTTGTGCTGGCCCATCAAGGGCTCACGGTAACTGAATAAAAGCAGGTACACCAGGTTGTAAACCCTCCCCACTTGGCTGCATAATTTGCTTTTTTATGGTAAATGACATGAAAACTTTCTGGTTTCAGAAGCAATACATGTTTATGGTAGGAAATTTGGGGAAAGTCAAAGAAGAAAACAAAAAGCCTCTGTCTTCAACCCCTTGGAGACAAGCACTTTGAATCCTGTGATGCATTTTGTTCTAGATTTTTCTTTTCTAATAAACATGGTGTGTCAGAAGTTTGGCTGGCTCATAAGCAGAATTAAAACAATCACCATAATAAACAAAGGAGACTCCCTGTTATTAAAGAATATGAGGAATGTGTATTTTATCTCACTCTGGGTTATTGTTTTCTTTTTAAATGATAGAAATTAAGCAGAAAAAAAAAAAACTTCACCATTAGGTTGACCATATCTACATAATGTCCTAATTGTGCTCTTTTGCCCAAGAGCCAGTGGTCAGATTATGTTAAGTGTTAGATTAACCACATTGGCTTTTTGAGTGCAAATCTCCCTAACCAGCTTGCATTGCAAATCTTGGAGTCAGTAGGCTGTTTCCCATCATCCCTTTCAATTCTATCTTATGAAGACTCCTTTGGACCTTTTTGTTTGTTTGTTTTTTAATTTTTTAAATTTATTTGACAGAGAGATAGGGAGAAAACACAAGCAGGGGGAGTGGGAGAGGGAGAAGCAGGCTTCCTGCTGAGCAGGGAGCCCGATGCGGGGCTCCATCCCAGGACTCTGGGACCATGAGCTGAGCCGAAGGCAGATGCTTAATGACTGAGCCACTCAGGCGCCCCTCCTTTGGACCTTCCTACTATCCTGTTCCTGCTCACCCAAGCTTGATCTTTGGAGATTGCGGCCTCACCAGAGCCATGTTGGAGCACTGGTTGCTCTCTCCTTGCCCTGCCGGCCTTGTGACCCGAATTGCTCTCCTTGACCTGCCTCCTCTGACCAGAAGCTCTCCATACTTTGCTATTGGAAAAGCTGTGGGCTCCCTGTGCCCTCCTCTTTGACCTTCCCCTGGAGACTCCTGGCACTCTGCATAAGCTGGGCGCCCCCCCCTTGGTGTCTTATTTCTGATTTTCCTGCCCCCTGCCTGTGTGACAGGTCCAGAACGGTGAGGCCACCCGTCTTAATGGTCAGTGCATGCACTTGGCCACCATCTCCCCACTCCCCTATTAGACTCACAGAAACTCACCAATTTGCTTTAAACAAACCTCACCAATAGCATTTTAGCATCTTGGATGTTTCCAGACACCCTCATCATTTATATTCTTGTCTTTGCCCGTTACCTGCCCACACATCACACTGGAAGATCTGGTACCACAACCAGTGTTCAGGATATCACCAAACAAGTAGTAGATTGATTCTCAGCTAGTTTTCGGTGAGGCAGGAAGGCTTGGAACCCTTCTGTTACACACAGCTGATTGGGGAAGCAATTGGAGGGATTTGTCATCTTGGCAAGTGAAATCCACCTTTATACATTCATCGGGTATGAGTGCCATATGGTGAGGGTGCAAAATTGATTAAGGTCCAGTCAAATCCTATGTGTGCAGAGCCCCATGACTCTGAGCCCCATGACTTTCCCCATGAGGAAAGAAGAAGATACAAATCGATAGTGCGTACAATCAGAAAGAGACAGGAACTCTTAATCCATTTGAAGTAGATAAAAGTTTCTCAACTGGGATGGTGGGTGAGGTTGGATGAGGAAAGTATTCGAGACAGAGGGAAAGGCACAGAATAATGAAAGAGTGTGGATTATCTGCGGAATGGAAGACTAGACTAGGCGTAGGAGGACAGAAGAGGAAAGGAGGCTGAGCTGTTAGGTTGTCCACTCTACTGCTCACCCCCTCTGAGAACCGGAGAGTTCGATTATCAGATCTGGCCTTTCTTCTTCATCTGGTAGGAGCCCCTTCCTTCTCAGGATTGATCCAGCCTCCCTTATCTCACCAAAACTTGCCTCCTGGGCCCCACTCCCTCAAGCCCTTGCATTTGAGCTATGAACAAGGCTTTGGAGGTCCCTGCATGGGGTCATCCAGGCCCTGTGGACATCCAGCAGGGGATGTTAATGGAAGCCAGAATTTGGGTACCACTCAGACCTACCAGAGGCAGCCACATCCACACCCTCCAGGTTTGCTGAGAACTTGTCATTGCCCCCTTACAATGCCACGTGTGCTCTTCACTCCTGCAGGCAAAATTCTCTTCCGTCGGAGCCACATCCGGGACGTGGCCGTCAAACGCCTCATACCAATCGATGAGTACTGTAAGGTAAGTCTAAGAAATGCTAACACTTCCTGTGTCTCATGTCTTCCCTTTAGGTCATTTCTTCTTTTCCCTTTCTGGCTACAAAATAGTCATTGCGAGCAATCTGCAGTTGAAAGAAATGTAAAAACCAGAACATCAACCACCCATGAGTCCTCAGAGACAACAATTATTAAGGTTTCTACATGTTTCCTTTCTAGTTTTTCTCTCTATATGCATTTCTTTATGGTGTTGACACCATCCCATATGTGTTATTTTTGTTGCTCTTTCTTTTTTCTCTGATATTTTGATATAAGAATTTCCCCATGCTATAAAAACATCTTCTTGAACCTACTTTCAATGGATGCATAGTATTCCACTGAGTGTGAATGTTCCAGAAGTTACTCAGTCCCTGTCCTTGGACAGTGCAGCTGGCTTCCAATCCCTTGAATGTTCTAAATCACAAGGGGCCTGCCTTTTGGCTACATTTCCTTTGATTTGCAGCTGTGGTTGGGAAAGAAGCATGCTTTTCCTTTGTCTAGGGTCCCTTACCTTTAGTATTATTTCTCTAACTTAAAATCACTAGCAGCTCTGATTGGAGAAGGTTGGGAATAACAAGAAATGCCTTAACAATGGAGCAGCAAAGATCGGAAACAAAGCAAATGTATTTGTTCTTCTCACATCTGTCCTACATTTTCCTGGAGGTTCTAGCCAGTGTACACAGGGAAAAAAGAAAATAAAAGGCATACAGTTTGGAAAGGAAGAAATAAAACTGCCTTGATTCACAGATGACATGATTCTGTTGGAGAAAATCATAAGGGAGCCACAAGAAAAAAAAAAACTACTAGAACTAATAGGTTTAGTAAGATCACAGGATACAAGATCAATATAAAAAATCAACTGTTGGGGCGCCTGGGTGGCTCAGATGGTTAGGCATCTGCCTTCAGCTCAGGTCATGATCCCAGGGTTCTGGGATTGAGCCCCGCATCGGGCTCCCTGCTCAGCGGGGAGCCTGCTTCTCCCTCTGCCTCTGCCTCTCCCCCTGCTCATGCTCTCTCTCTCTGTGTGTGTCTCAAATGAATAAATAAAATCTTTAAAAGAAAAAAAAAATCAACTGTAGAGGCACTGGCTGGCTCAATCGGTGAAATGTGAGACTCTTGATCTCAGGGTTGTGAGTTCAAGCCTGACATTGGGCATGGAGCCTCATTGAGAAAAAAAAATAAAGTAAAAAAATAAAAATAAAAATCTTAATTAAAAAAAAAAATCAGTTGTACCTCTAAATACTAAGCATGAACAATCCAAAAATGAAATTAAGAAAATAATTCCACTCACAATAACATCAAAAAGAATAAAATACTTAGGGGTGCCTGGGTGGCTCAGATGGTTAAGCGTCTGCCTTTGGCTCAGGTCATGATCCCAGAGTCCTGGGATCGAGCCCTGCATTGGGCTCCTGGCTCAGTGGGGAGCCTGCTTCTCCCTCTCCCTCTGCCTATGCCTCTGCCCCTGCTCGTGCTCTCTCTCCCTCTCTGTATCTCTGTGTCTCAAATTAATAAATAAAATCTTTTAAAAAAAAGAATAAAATGCTTAGGAATAAATTGAATAAGAAGTACAGGTTTGTACATCGAAACTACAAAACACTGTTGAGAGAAACTAAACCAGCTCTAAATTAATGGAGAGACATTACTTACTCGTGGATTAGAAGACTCAGTAGTGTTAAAATGGCACTTCTTACTACTCAGGCATAAAAAAGAATGATATCTTGCCATTTGCAATGACACGGATAGAACTAGAGAGTATTAAGCTAGGTGAAACAAGTCAGTCAAAGAAAGACAAATACCATATGATTTCACTCATATGTGGAATTTAAGAAACAAAACAAACGAGCAAAGGGGAAAAAAAGAGAGAGGCAAACCAAGAAACAGATTCTTAACTATAGAGAACAAACTGATGGTTTCCAGAGGCGAAGGCAGGGTGGGGCGGGAGGGAGATGGGTGAAATAGTGATGGGGATTGAAGAGTGCACTTGCTGTGCTGAGCACCAGGTGAAGTATGGAAGTACTAAATCACTGTATTACACTGAATACTAACTAACTGGAATTTAAATAAAAACTTAAAAAAATCTAGGAGAATAAATTAGAATTTGGGGGTCAGGATGAATTTCTTAATGAGAACAACGTGTGTGTGTGTGTGTGTGTGTGTGTGTGTTATATGAAATTTGTAGAAATTGATATGAAAAAGACAAACAACCATACAGGGAAAATGGGCAAAGGACAGGATTGGAAATACAATAAAAAAGACAAATCCCAATGACAAACAAACAATAACAAAAAAACACTAAATAAAATAAAGTGGCAGTTCTTCCCCAATTGATCCAAACATTCAGTATAATCTCTGTCAAACTCCTAGTAAGCTTTTTTGTAGAAATTAACAAGCTGATCCTAAATTATATGGAGAAATGCAAGGATCCCAAAATAGCCAAAACAATTATGAAAAAAAAGAACAAAATTAGAGGCTTATAGTACCCGTTTCAAAACTTCCTACAAAAGCTACAGTAATCAAGACTGGCATAAGGATAGGCACGTAGATCAGTGGAACAGAAGTGAGGGCCTAGATATAAACTTTTGTGAAATTTATGGTCAATTGATTTTCAGCAATGGTGCCAAGAAATTCAATAGGGAAAGGATAATCTTTTTAACAGTGTGGGATAATAGGATATCCATACACCAAAAAAAAAAAAGGAAAAAAAATTAAGTTGGATCCCTACTTCACACCATGCACAAAAATCAACTCAAAATGATCACAGACCTAAACATAAGAGCTAAAATTATAAAACTTCTAGAAGAAAACATAGGAGAAAATCTTTATGACCATGATTTAGGCAGAGAGTTCCTAGATATGACACCAAAAGAGAAAAATTGATAAATTGGACTTCACTAAACTTCCAAACTCTGGGGTGCCTGGGTGGCTCAGTCGGTTGAGCATCTGCCTTCGGCTCAGGTCATGATCCTGGAGTCCCGGGATCGAGTCCCGCATTGGGCTCCCTGCTCAGCAGGGAGTCTGCTTCTCCCTCTGACCCTCCCCTCTCTCATGCTCTCTCTCTCTATCTCATTCTCTCTCAAATAAATAAATAAAATCTTTAAACTTCCGAACTCTGTACTTCAAAAAAATCCAGTGAAGAAAGTAAAAAGACATGTCACAGATTAGGAGAAAATATTTGTAAATCATCTCTGACAAGGGACTTGTATTGAATCTATACAAAGAACTCTTAAAACTTAACCATGAAGATGTCCCAGTTTAAAAATAGACAAAAGATTTGAATAGAAATTTCACCCAAGAAGATGCATGATGGTTAATAAGCGCATGAAAAGGTGTTCAGCTTCATTACTCATTAGGCAATCATTAGGTAATGAGAAACCTACACAGCCACTGGAATGGCTGTAATCCATAAGATAGACAAAACCAAGAGCTGGTGAGGATATGGAGAAACTGGAGCCCTCGCTCTGGTGGGGACATACGATGAGAAGCCACTCTGGAAAATAGTTTGGCACTTTCTTCCACGAGTGAGATATGACCACTTTTAGGTATCTACTCCAGAGAATTGAAAAGTTACATCCACACAAAGACTTGAATGTACATGTTTGTAGCAGTACTAATTCATAATAGCCAAAAACTGGAAGCAGTCCAGATGTCCATCATCAGGTGCATAGATAAAATGTGGAATACCCATACAATAGAATATTTTAGACAATAAAATGCAGTGAAATCCTGATAAATGCTGCAGCTTGGGTGAATCTCAAGTACATGATGCTAAGAGAAGCCAGATGCAAAAGACTACGCGTTGCATGATTCCATCTACATGAAATGTGCAGATAGAGACAGAGAGCAGATCAGTGGTTTCCGAGGCCTGAGGACAGTGCAGGCAGAGATGGACCACATGTTAGCTGGGGGAAATTTTTGAGGCGATGGAAAAGTTCTAAAACTAGAACTATTGTGGTGTTGGTTGCACAACTCTATAATTTACTAAATATCATTGAATTGTGTACTTATAATGGGTGGATTTTATAATACATAAATTATACTTCAATACATCTTTAAAAAAATGTAAAGGGGGGCAGTGCAGGGATATATGACCCTTGTCTTGGCAAGAGACCTCATGGAAGGGCAGAAAATCACTCCTGATCACTCCTGTCTTCTCTTTGCCAGACAAGACCTCCTTTCATCCCGCCAACAACCTTAAGAAATAGGTTTTATTATTCCCATTGTGTAGGCGAAGAAACAGAGGTCCAACAAAGTTACCTACAACAGTAGTATTGGAGGATTTGATGGTTGAATGCTAGCCTTTTAGGACTTGGCCCTCCCATACCACTTACGGCCTCTCTCTCTTTCTCTCCTAAGGATATCCTTAAAAAGGGATTGGAGAGTGAAGGGCAGGGAAGGTCACCCAGGCACAAAGTTACTACTACTGCCTCCCGGCTCTCAGAGGAAAGTTCGGATCTTCTCCTCTTTGCGTCTTTTCAAACCTCTAGAGCCTAAAAGTCCTTTGTCCAGGCCTTGCTGGCAAGACCTTCAGACCTCTGGGGTTATCTTGGCCAGCTGGGGATTTCCAGCTGGTACCTTCCCTAGCAACTATTGTCTCTCAGCCTGAAGTGTGCTATCCTGCTTCTTACCCCAGCCCAGCCAGCTTCTCCCCAGAGTGACACTTTTCCTCATACCCAGGGCTTCACGAACCTCCAGATACTTGATTTGGAAAAGGAGATTTAAAATCATGAAATGAGGGGCACCTGTGTGGCTCAGTTGGGCGTCCAACTCTTGATTTCGGCTCAGGTTGTGATCTTGGGGGTCGTGGGATCAAGCCCTGAGACTCCGTGCTCAGCAGGGAGTCTGCTTGAGGTTCTCTCTCTCTCCCTCTCCCTCTGCCCCTCTGCCCCTCTGCCCCCAAAATAAATAAATACATCTTTTTTTAAAATCCTGAAATAAAAAGAGATAGCAGCAGCTGCCTGCATCTGGCTGATGCTTGAAATGGTATAG